CTAACATGCAGGTAGGTGCCACATTGGCGTTGCTCAAAAAGTGGAAAAAGGCAATTGGATGGACTTTAGCTGATATTCGGGGAATAAGCCCCGCATTCTGTATGCACAAGATCATTCTGGAAGATGATGCAAAACCCTCCTTGGAACATCAAAGGAGGCTGAACGAGGCAATGCAAGAAGTTGTGAAAAAAGAGGTGATCAAGTGGATAGATGCCGGTGTGGTGTACCCTATCTCTGACAGCTCGTGGACTTCACCGGTGCAATGTGTGCCGAAAAAGGGTGGTATGACCGTGGTGACCAATGCTAATAATGAGCTTATTCCAACCCGGAGAGTGACCGGATGGAGGGTGTGCATGGACTACCGCAAGCTGAACAAGGTGACCCACAAGGATCACTTCCCATTGCCTTTCCTTGACCAAATGCTTGATCGTCTTGCTAGGCGTGCCTTCTATTGTTTCTTGGATGGTTATTCGGGGTACATTCAAATTTTGATAGCTCTCGAGGATCAGGAGAAGACAACCTTTACTTGTCCATATGGCACCTTTGCTTTTTCTCGGATGCCCTTTGGGTTGTGCAATGCACCGGCAACATTCCAATGGTGTATGATGGCCATTTTCACCGATATGGTGGAAGATATTTTGGAGGTTTTCATGGACGACTTCAGTGTTGTGGGTGATTCATTTGACGAGTGTTTGGGCAATTTGGATAGAGTGTTGGCCCGGTGTGAAGACACCAATTTTGTGCTGAATTGGGAAAAATGCCACTTCATGTATGAGGAGGGCATAGTTTTGGGTCATAAAATTTCAAAGAACGGTATTGAGGTTGACAAAGCCAAAATTGAGGTGATTTCAAGACTTCCTCCCCCCACTTTTGTCAAGGGGGTTAGAAGTTTTCTTGGGCATGCGGGGTTCTACCGACGATTTATCAAGGACTTTTCGAAGGTAGTGAATCCTTTGTGCAAGCTGCTAGAAACGGATGAAAAGTTTGTGTTTGATGAGGGATGTAGGCAAGCCTTTGAACTTCTCAAGCAAAAGTTGACCACCACCCTGATCATTACCGCACCCAATTGGAGTTTGCCTTTCGAGCTTATATGCGACGCGAGTGATGTAGCGGTTGGGGCAGTTTTGGGTCAAAGAGTGAACAAAATGTTTCATCCAGTGTACTATGCGAGCAAGACAATGAATGAGGCTCAAAGGAACTACACAGTGACGAAGAAAGAATTATTGGCTATTGTGTTCGCAATGGAAAATTTTTGGCCATATCTTATGGGAGCCAAAGTCATAGTGCACACCGATCATGCAGCTCTTAGGTATTTGATGACAAAGAAAGACTCCAAAGCTAGACTGATGCGATGGGTCTTATTACTCCAAGAGTTTGATTTGGAAATTGTGGACCGGAAAGGTAGCGAAAACCAAGTGGCAGATCATTTGTCCCGCTTGGAGGAAGAAGGAAGGCCGTGTGATGGCCTAGAGATCAATGATGCATCTCCCGATGAGCAGCTACTTTCTGTGTCGATGAGTGATATGCCATGGTTTGCGGATGTTGCTAATTACCTTGTGACCGGCATCATCCCATGTGAGATCTCTTCTAACCAAAGGAAGAAGCTCAAACGGGATAGTCTAGACTTCTATTGGATGAGCCATACTTGTTCAAGATTTGCACCGACGGAGTGATCCGGAGGTGTGTACCTGAGGAAGAGTAATCTAGCATTCTAGAGGCTTGTCATTCCTCCCCCTATGGTGGCCATCATGGGGCGGCGAGGACAGCTTCGAAAGTTCTAAGTTGTGGATTTTATTGGCCAACTGTGTACAAAGATGCAAGTGATTTAGGGAAAAGGTGTGACCAATGTCAAAGAGCGGGCGGTATTTTGAAGAAAGATGAGATGCCTTTAAACACCATTCTAGAAGTGGATATCTTTGATGTATGGGGCATCGATTTCATGGGCCCATTTGTAAGCTCGTGCGGAAACACCTACATTCTTGTAGCGGTTGATTATGTCTCAAAATGGGTCGAGGCTGTGCCTTTGCCCAACAATGAAGCTAGGAGTGTGGTTGCATTTCTAAAGAAGATCATTTTCACAAGGTTTTGCACTCCTCGTGCAATTATTAGTGATGCAGGATCGCATTTTTGCAATAGAGCTTTTGACACCTTGCTTGCCAAGTATGGTGTCAACCACAAAGTGTCTACTCAGGTTGAAGTGTCCAACAGGGAAATCAAGAATATTCTGTCTAAAACAGTTAATGCAAATAGGACCGATTGGTCTAAGAAGTTGGATGATGCTCTATGGGCGTATAGGACTGCTTACAAAACTCCGATTGGTATGTCTCCGTATCGGTTGGTATTCGGGAAAGCTTGCCATTTACCGGTTGAGTTAGAGCATAAAGCCATGTGGGCCTTGAGAAAGTTGAACCTTGATTGGGATGTGGCTGCAAATCTTCGGGTGGAGCAACTTAATGAACTTAACGAATTTAGGTTCCATGCCTACTCTAGTTCGTCCTTGTACAAGGACAAGATGAAATACCTTCATGAAAAATATGCTCGTGGCAAGGAGTTTAGAGTAGGTGATTTGGTTCTCTTGTTCAACTCTCGGTTACGATTGTTTTCGAGAAAGCTAAAGTCAAAGTGGAGCGGACCATTTGAAGTAGTGTGTGTGACCCCGTTTGGTGCCCTTGATTTAAAGAACAAAAGTGGGGAAGTTTTTAGAGTGAATGGGCATAGGGTCAAGCATTATCTTGGAAAAATTAATGACAGCCACGTGGTGGCACTCCTTCATCTCAAATGATGTGATGGTAACTTGCGTCGTGCCGCGACGTTAAATCAGGCACTTCTTGGGAGGCAACCCATGTGTTTTTCTTTTTCTTTTTATTTGATTTTCATTGTAGTGTAGGATTGATTTTTGGGCTAACTGGTTGTGTGATATTACAGGATTGTGTTGATGCAGTGCAGGACATAGTGGAAAAAAATGATCAGGTCTCTGAAGTTATCAGTGCGGCCGCAGTCCATTCTGTGTGGACCGCACTGAAGAAAGAGTAAAAATACAACTCTCTGAAGTTTGCCACTGCAGCCGCATTACATTTTGTGCGGTCCGCGATGGACCACTACGGCCGCAGTCCGTTTTGTGTGGACCGCATTGTGTTGCCTCCTCAAGCTTTGAAAATTTTGTGCAGTGCGGACCGCGGTCAATTTTGTGAGGTCCGCACTGGGGTAGGTAAGCTGGGCCCCAGGGCTTTTTCTATAAATAGTCCTTGAGGCCCAACATTTACACTTTTCGAACCCTTACATCTCAAAAGCCCTAAAACACTGTTCATCACTTCCCTTAGATCATACTTAATTGATTGGAACAAATTTTCCTCATTTCATCTCACATCTGTTAAATCCATTTCTTTTTAATTACTTCAATTTTGTTATTTTCTTTCCCATTTTGTTTTACTTGGATTTTATTTCTCTTCTTCCCGTATTTTCTTCCATAGATTAGGTTAGGGTAGTTAATCTTTTGATTAAAATAGACATAGGTAGTTAAAATCAATAGGTAAACATGTAGAGACACTAATTAGGTGTAAACATGGGCTTAAAATCAAAAATACTTGAACCCTAATTTAGTGCCACTACTGGGCACTCAATGCGGACCGCGGTTGTTTTTGTGCGGTCCGCGGTGCCCCAGTACGGTCGCACTACATTTTGTGCGGTACGCACTGCCTAGATACAGAGAGTGGGTAGTCTGAACCCTACCTCTGTGCGGACCGCGGTTGGTATTGTGCGGTCCGCGGTGACCCCAGTGCGGCCGCACATCATTTTGTGCGGTCTGCACTATGTGACTCTACAACATTTTTGCAAGTTTTCTTCTCTGATTCTGCAACTCTGTTCTTAACTGCTGTAACTGATACTAACAAGTCAATTGAATTGTGTTTGCAGACAATGGTGAAACAAAGAGGTAAACAACCGGCAGAGGGGAATCCTCCCGGGGAGGGAAGCAGAAAATGATAAAACTGACTCCTCAAGCCCGACAAAATATTAAAAGGACAAGAAAACTGATAAAAGCTGCTGATAGAGCTGCTTCCCACTCCTCGGGGAGTGAGTACGAGCCTTCCCGGGAGATATCTTCGGACTCAGTACCAACATACATCCTTGACTGGCCAGAGAGGTTCAGGCTAAGAGACACACCTCCAGCGTCCCCCACTGCGCAAGCGTCAGTGAATATTTCTTCTGGGTCGTCTGATGGCTCAGGTGAAGGTAGTGGGGAATACTCCACCTCTCCTACAGCTTCATTATCTGGAGAGGGTGCAGTAGGTACTGAGGAGGAAGTAGGAGGAGAAGAAGAATTAGGCGAAGGAGGTGAACCACAGGTGGGGGGTATTGCTAGAACTAGGAACCCGGAGGTGTGGCAAGATCGGTTCGTCAGTGAAGTAGCATACCATAAATTCCGGGAATGGTGGCCGGTGAGAAAGTTGATCCGGGAGAGGAGCTTCGTAGATAGAGACTTGCTACCTCATAACCCAAATGTGAGGAGGCAGTTTAGGGAGAGAATTGACTGGGAGTACTTTTTGAGTGATTGTGTAGATGCCAATGAGCACTTGGTCAAGGAATTATACACCAACGTTGCCCACATCAAAAAGGGCACCAAGGTGACCAAGGTGCGAAACCTGAAGGTATTATTTGATGGGAAGACTATAAATGACTACCTTGGCTTCGATGAGGAGGATGAGTCCCTATACATGGCAAAGATGTAAATGGGTGAAGAGGTACGTCCCTGGCTAGCACAATACCTGGCAATCCCAGGTACCACCCCCGACTGGTTGACTGCTGGAGTCAAAATTCTGAGGCGTAGTTTGAACTTTGAAGCGAGGGGATGGGAGACATTCGTATGTAGAAGGTTGGACCCTACCACTCATGACAACACCCTACCTCTTCACCGGGCTGTTTTGGTGGCTTTGATCATGGCGGGGTACCATTCAATGTAGGGAATGTGATGTCGAGGATTATCTCAATTGTGGGTGCCGAGCATGACAGAATTTTTGTGGTATAGCATGCAGGGGGATGATAACCCCAAGAGCAAGAGTTTCAAGAGTTCAGTTACTGCTCCAACTGGCCAGTTTGAAGAGACAGTTGTGGTAGTGACTCCTGCTGAGCCGGCCTCCACTTCTACTGCTGCCCCTCCTGGTCCATTCACCTCAGCAGACCCGGAGATCCCATCTTCCCGGGCCCAACCCATTACTGCCTACCGGCTGAGCCAGGCACTTCTGAGTATCAATAATTGGATGCAGACTGCCTCATCCAAGTTGTCCATCCTGACCACCACTGTAGAGGCTCAGTCTCCACCCCCACAGGTTCCCCAGTCGATTGAGGATGCTCTCAAGGAGATATTAGAAAACTAGAAGAAGATCCTCGACACTCAGGCGGTGCTCACAAAGGCAGTTGATTCACATAGAAAGGATCTCAAGGAGCTTGCGAGGGAGCACAAGAAGCTGAGGAAGACACGTGCCTCCAAGGAGTCCGTGAAGGAGCTGAGAGCGGATGTTGACAAACTGAAGGCAGATCACTTGCCTTTAGACTTATTGCTCCAGGATCCAACACCAGCAATTCATCCACAGCCGGAGCAGTCACAGAGGACTCCCAAGAGGAAGACGATGATTCCTAGAGCTGATGATGCAGTCATCCAGCTGGTAGACCCGCAGGAGACCTCCTCCAGTCAGCCACAGGATGCACCACCTTCGGAGCCTGTCCAGGTCCAGGCCCAGGTCCCAGTAGCAGAGCAGCAGGCCACAGGGAACCAGACTAAGGTTCCCGAGCACAGAGAGGACCCAGGGACCACACATGAGCCTATGTAGACAGACGGGCCATAGGGAGTTTTCTATATCCTTTTTTCCTTTCTCTTTTTGGTGCTTTATTTAGACTAGTTGGCATTGGGGATAATGCCAGCTTTCATTTGAGGGGGTAGGCCCTACATTTTGGATGATTGTATATATTTAACAATTTTATGCTTTCTTGATTTTTCATCTTTGGTCTGTATATAAT